CCATCTTTTTCCTTTTTGCATTTCAGTGACTTTTCCAACAAAAACACACGTTCCCGTTTCCTATATGAGAAACAGCCCCAACAAAAACACGTCGGCATTAAATGATCTGCACAAATAGGATCTGTCTTCAGTTTACAAAAAGCTGGGCACAATCAGAAGTGACTGACTGCTGCGCACTGCTGCAGTGTGTGTGTGTGTGTGTGTGTGTGTGTGGCACCAGGCATTAACAGAGAGTAGTGTAAAGGAGAGAAAATAAGGAGAGAGGACAGACAGACAGACAGAGGAGCACACAGTGATCAGGACTGTTGAGTAGCAGAGTGCCAGCAACTGCATGTGGAGGAAGATGCCAATATCTCTGCACCAGCAGCCAACAGCACCTACTGACACAACAGCAACAGATGTTTGACCAAAGGTCAGAGATATAATCATTCAGACTGCTTCCTTCTGGAACTGACCTCTGACTTTACTGTAATTAGAAATGGCATTCAAACACTGATCGTCAGTGAGAAGAAGCTGACATCCTGTATTCTGGCTTGCAAGTGGCGCTCCACTTTTGTTTAAAGAGCCACTCCAGTCATTTAGTTTGGCATTTCAATAAACCTGGATGACTCACAAGAGACAGCTTACAACACAAATGGTCCAAATCGAAGCAACAGCAGCCAAGACATCCAGACTTTCAGTCTGTAGCGTGGGGCAAGCAACAACAACACTGGTTGTACATTTCATACAGTGCAACTTAAAAGTGCAGTGTGTAAGATCTAGAAAGTTTTATTAGCAAAAATGGACAGGAGCAGGCATCATTATGTTTTCATTCACGTGGAATCACCAGAAAATAAGAATTGTTGTGTTTTCTTTAGCTTAGAATGAGCATTTTATATCTACACAGGAGCAGGTCCCCCATCATGGAGGCTGCCATGTTTCTACAGTAGCTTAGAACGAACAAAACACACACTGGTGTGAAATTCACGTTTTTGCACGGAAGTAGCAGCTTGGATCGGAGATGGTTGGAGGACAAAAAGAGGTAAAGAGCATTGTGAGTTTAAGAACTATAATGTGAAGAATGAGGATCATAGTTGAACTTTAACACAAGAAAAAAACAGCATGAGTCTTCATTGTCAAAGAAGCAAAGACAGCAAGAAATGGGACAGGTTAAAGTTAACTGTGGACAAATGAGCTGTTGATTGCAAAAACCCAATCAAACCGGCTGCTGGTCCACTTCTATTGTGCTTCTTTTCATTCAATTATGGTAAGAGTGCTTGGAGCGGCCAAGATGGATGTTTAAAGTCTCCCTGAGTGTTTATTAATAGGCCTAATGAATAAAATGGTATTACTGCAGATCTTAATGTGTTTGTATTCAGCCTTCTTGAAAATTATATTATTGCATCAAGTGAGCTGCCGTTAACTTTTGCAAGTCAGTCACGCTTGTTTTCTGAGTATGGAGCTTGTCCTTCATTTACGGTAATTGCTGTGAAAGGGCTGTGAGGGCTCTTGAGCACAATGTATGACAGCTTTGCAGAACGTTGCAATCTGCTGCCTCACCACTAGATGGCACTGGATCTCTCATACTACACCTTTAATATGACTTTTTGATAAACTCCACACCTCCGGTTTGCAACACAGGTTTTCTGTTACCAAATTAGTTTGTAATCTGTTTTTGTTGAGTTGACAAAACCTCTCCACAGACACAGAGGCTACTGTGCGGTACATGACTTATATTTATAGGTATGGTTCCACCCAAAAGTTCCTGGTACTTTTCGTTCCCAGAGGATAAAGTCCAAGAACTTTCCCTGGGGTAAATGTCCCTCAAACACAGTATGATTTGAATTTCCACAGCAGTGTCAAAGCCCCAGGAAGATTACAATTGCCTGCTGATGTCAGCAACAGGGTGTTAGGGATTTTGTGTGTAAAATGCTGCACGGTATTTAACCAATCAGTGATGTTCAGCACTGCAGGCCTCGCCCTGATAGTTCTCAGTTCTTCAGAAAGTGCTACCCCTCTACTAGGAACATCTTCTGGCAGAGTAGAACTAGACCCCGGAACCAAATTTAGACCCTGCTTCCTCTTGTTGAAACACAGGCAGATGAACCAAAGGTTCCTTTTCCCCTTGGAAAGTCCCTGTGATGAAAATAGGGCTTGTATGGCCACATCCACTTATACACTGTCACTAGGTAACCAAGAAACACCTTCAAATGCAGACAAGAGCAGCCCTTTATGTAGGTGGCACCTCTATAAAACACTGCTGTTTGTCTGTGCCCACAAACAACATCAGGACATCTCCCACTTTCCTCCCAAAGCTGCATTTTGGTGGCATGGGGACCCAGCTAGTCAGCGCCACTGCCAGTGAGAAACCCATCAGCGAGGATTAGCTGAACACTGGACCATCAATGTGACCTACGTCGTGCTGTGTGACTCATCATGCCAGAAGGTATCCTGCTTGTGGAGTGTCAGCTTTCATGTACCGTCCAGGAGCTAAAGCTGGGCTTATCACACAAACACATGCAACCATAGAAGCTCTCACAGTGCTTCACAATTCATAAAGTCACAGAAGAGTAAAGCAAAGTCATAACAAAGAATGTCATTAGTACATTTTCTGGCCTAAATTGTGCAGCACAATGAGTGTAAGCAGTTTTAATTCTTTAAACAAAGGCATAAATGGCTGCTCTTTGGCTCAGCCTGCGCAGACACCATGCAGGGCGGACAGTCAGGATGTAAACATTATGAGCTCTTATTATTCTCCAGAATTCCTCCGCTTCGGCCTTTTGTGGGGGCTACGACATGTTAGATCCCACCTGCAGTGTGTCCTCAGGCTGCACTGACACAGCGTGACAGAGCTCAGATGAGCTGACTGACAGGAAAACATGCACACACATGATCCGCTGCAGATACCTGGCTGTCCCCAGAAGGGTGCATGGAGGGAGGGGTGTGATGTGATGAATAACACACATCCCACTACACCCAAATTCTGTAACCTGTGTAAACAGAAGTGTGTGCTGGGGATAAATGGGACAACACTAAACACGCTACTGTGGCAAAATCGCATCGTTTTCGGTGTGTGTACTGCTGCACAGAACGGGCTCAGCCAGTCGTGCATTGAACACAAGCAAACACAGCGTAACCCAGTTATTATGGCAACTGCTGTATCATTTAGTGCGTCAGACGCGGGCTGGGTTTGGTCAGGGTGCAGGTGAGGAGAGGAAGCGTCAACCCCGGTTTACTCACCTTTCAGTCAGTTCCCATATGGAGGCTGTGGAGTCCGCCCTGTCTGTCCAGGCTGCTGGTACACACACGATATATGAACGCATACTAAGGCCAGGTGTGCTGAGAGAAACGCCTGAGCTCGGTGGTCTGTGAGGAGCCTCCGAGCAGCCGTGTGTCGGTAGATGTGGCGACGAGCATCCTGCAGCCTCCTCCGACTCTGCGTCCTATTGTCTCCGCATCGCTCTGTCCTCTAGGATGAGAGGAGAGGGGAGTCAGGGGAGGAGAGGAGCGCCAGTACCCAGGCGAGGAGGGGTAGGAAAGCCCGCCCTCTCCTCACCGCTCTAGCCAATCGCAGCGCTGCTCCGCCGGGCGCCGTTGCAGCTCGCTGTCTCCGTACAGACTATGCTGCCTTCAAAAACTGTCGGAAAAATCATACACACAAAGATGTAATATAACACACATTAATACATGGGAATGTAATCATTTATTATTATAACTAACAATTAATCAGTATTATTAATAATTATTGATTAATAAACGATTATTATTATATTAATATATTCTTTAAATTAGCACACATTAGATTAGTTTATCAATTCATTTTTAAAATTATTATTATATTTGTAACATGTTATTAGGCTATATGAAATCCACTTTGTGTGTGTGTTTTTTAAAATCAACAATTACACAGCCTGCTCAACTTTCATGTGGCAACAGATGCACCTCATCATCTACAGCATATTATTCATCTTTTTGGATCTCAGCTTACTCAGAGCAATTCAAGCTGAACACAGGTAGGTTAAGCATGAAGTTGTCTGTTTTTTTCTTCCAATGCTAGGAGAAAGATGGTTCCTGCCACTTTTGTTACCACGTCTTGATTATGAAAACTCTAGATGGAATTTACAAGTTGGCCCTGAATGCCTCATAAGGCCAATACAAAGAGGACATCTATGCAGTGCAAGAGAAATCCCAACTCTAATATAAATGTGGTGTTTGTGAAAAACAAGTCAGCTAGCAGTCATCGCTGTTCTGTGTCATGACTGTGCTGCTGCTTTAGCTCTAGTAAAACACAGGAGCAACAGTAAACAACCACAATGCTGCAGTGACATAACAGTACCATGACTGCATGTGACTGTTTTTCATTGTACAATTATTCCACACTAAATAACCCCAGCTCTGATCAGAAACATCCTACCCATGGTTCATTTACTATCTTAGTGATGCATGACCTGTGACTGATTCTTTGTAGAAAACAACCCTTTGGTTACCAAGATGTTGCATCACAGGATGAAAACAGGGTGGTGCTCTCCCCAGGGGCCGTTTTTGATCTCTCCAACTCTCATCACACAGGTGGCCTGTTTTGCAGGGATTGCCCTCCTGCAACAATGCCACAGAGTGGAAGTAGGTTCCAGGGACCACCAGGGGTCCTTTGGGAGGGCCCCATAGGGTCCCAGAAAAATAGGGAGTAGGACATTTTTATTTTTTTCCTCACACAACAAGATGAATTAAAAAAAGAGTCATATTTATTTTTTTGTTTCCTTTCCTGTATTGTTTGGTGTTTTCTGTGTTTCAAGCTTGAACTGGCCAGAATGTCTGATGTGCTTTTCTTTAAAGAGAATAAGTGTATCATGAAGAGCTTTGTGAGTGTTAAAAGATGAATGGAGGAGATCTGTGAGCACCACAGAGATGTCCTGTGTACTGGCGTTACACAAAGTACAGCCTGTTCACTGTGACAGTATAATTACCCTGAATGATGGGAACCTGTAAGGGACCTGTCCAGTCAGCTCTGCTTCCACTTAATTTAACTTAACTCTCAGATGTAATCACTTTGTCTGTCAGTGAGGTTAAGGTAAGAGAATCCCACTTTACTAAAGATTTACTAGAACCGTATGTTGGATTATTTGAGGAATAAAAACAGACAGTCTGTTTGCTTAGAACACCATGAGTCAAATTCAGTCACGTCATCAAATTTTATTTTGAAGGAGTGGAAAAGTAAATATAAGGTAAGGGAAATAGAAAAGGGTTAAAACATACAGTATGTCCACTGACCACTTTTATAACAGATTTAAAAAAAGCACACAACTGTGTGTAGTTTGTTAGCAATAAAATAATAAGCAATTATGAGAAAGGAATGTGCAACATTCTTCAGTAGGCAGTATCACAGACTCAGTTAAAAGGACTATGATCAGGGCAGGATAAACTTGGAAAGGTTAAATGTGTAGTGCAAATATTATAGACTTCAAAAGGCCTTAGACAAACAAATAGAGTTCCAGGTCTTTGGTGTGGAGATGCTGTGCCAGGTTCTGAATGCGACACAGGCGCACGTTCAGAGCATCTCCTGCGCTATACACTCGGTATATGTGGTAGCGCTCTTTCTCTTTCAGTGCAAAGTCCAGCTCATTGACAGAGAGGTGGATAAATGACCGCTCCTTCTTTTTTGTTGACTTCACTTCCACGTACACCACCCCCAGCCCTCCTCCTGGTCCAAAGGTGAGTTTGAAGTCATAGGGCTGGCCGCTTTCTCCACTCTGATTGCACCACAGGAACTGTGTGGGCCGTGCGGGATGATCACTGTCTCTCCAGTGGCACAGGAAAGAGTTGACCAGTTGTTCCCCCCACTCACCAATCGCTGCCACGTCCATTGGGTCATCAGATAACGTCACCTACAAAAGAAAAGCATCTTTAGAAATCCTCACACTCAACCACTGGGACAGGATCACATGTAGTGAATGCACTGACAGTGGTAGGTTTCTGGCAGGTGAGCTCCATGTCCTCCAGTGTGGCCTGTGGAGGCTTCCTGAGAGGGAAGTCTAGGCTCAGAGGGGGACGCTGAGTCTCTGCAGAAGCTGTAGTCCCCTGAAACGTACTGGGAAGCACTACAGCCTCAGGGGTGATGCTGACAAGAGAGACAGGCATGATCAGTTTAGGGAGAAAGAGAAGGTGGGGAAATTGGGTTTGTTTTGTGGGTTGTGTTTTGGGTAAAAATTAACATTAGTTTTCTACATGAATATTTCAAAAATTGTGAGATGAGGGAAGGAATCTTACAGGCTGTTTGGAGCGGCCCGGTCACTGGCTGTCTCAGCAGGCTTGGCAGATGGATCACTCTGTTTTGGTCTCGGAGCTGTGAGGCTTTCCTCTTCCTTCACAGCTCTGTCAGACTCAGCAGTCTCACTCTGTTGACTGAGCTCTGTCAGTGACAGACAACATCGAATGGAAGAATTAAGAATTTTTAGGGTGTGCCGGGAATAATGCCACTCCATAGAATTTGTGTCATTATGCAGTAGCATCTTAAAATCACTGTGGCTGCATAAGTCCTTATTTATGCCACACAGATGTGGTGGCTTTACATAACAACAAATTCTGAGTATGACTCAGAAATCTAAACTGAACTATTTTTACTAAGACAGAGCTTGGTGTTTAAAATGCTGCCACACAAAAGACCAAAAGAAGGCCAATAATATCCACCAAATATTACTGTCAATAATCATTTTAGAGCCTCAGAATCTTCTACATAGTTTGGGGCCACTGATTAGAGGCCCTGAGCAGCCTTTATTTTATTACTAACCTCCAAAGTTTAACAAGCACTAGCTAGTAGCTCTGTAGGGTTGTTAGCTAGTTTAGCATTAGCTGCTGGGTTACAACCATTCAAATATATAAAATTTATGGAACTAAATAACTTTACGTGATTTAAAGATGCACTAATAAATCTGTTCATTTGCCCATTTGTGGGAACAAGCTGAAAACACAACATGGACATATATTCACCTAATAAACCAGCTATGGCTAACATGTGGTGGGTTGGTCTTCGACAAGGCAAATATCTGGTACTTTAATTGTGAGCAGTTTAACTTCCTTCACTAGCTAGTTACTAGCCTTGTGTGTCTGTCATTTGTTGTGGGGCAGATATTGTAAAGAAGATATATCAGAGCTTTTACTGTGAAAACAAAGGCCTGCTGTGACAGGAAACAGGGATGATGCATTTGTGGAGCAGAAAACCAAAACAACAAACTGAAAGAAGCTAAGATGCTGTGCAGAGATGGATTCCTTTTTTAAAGATTCATGACTGTGAGCAGCCTTCTTCGTGTTACACAGAGATACTGGATATAATGTAAATACAAAAATATTGACAGGTGCAGCTTTAAGATCAATTTAGCATCTGCAGTAATTAAACCAGCACAAACACAATCAATGGCAGTAGGAGAAAGACATCCATATGTGTGACCTGGAGGCTGTGGGGTGGTGTTGATGTTGGTGGTCACTGCAGCAAGGTTAGGCTTCCCTGGGTGACTGAGGACCTTCTGAGGGACAGGCTGCTCTGGAGGCCTGCTGCTGCTGCTATTCTTGAGTGGCTGGTTTCCTTCATGACTGCTGGGATTTGGGGGGAGGACATGGCTGCCGCCTTTGGGGGTGACCTCTTTCTCTGGGTCTCTGTCTTTAGGTGGAGCAGGAGGCGGCCACATCTTCATGACAGCTTCAACTACGCCCCCATCTGGATGGCCTTTTTGGAATTGTAGGAAACGAGAAATGTAGTTTACCACTGAAGAAATGACCAAACGGAAACAACAAACCACAAACAACCTTTATGCTGAACAAATGCATCTAGTACCTGCACGACTGCCTCCTGTATTCAGTATAGATGCTCGAGGAGGCCAGCAAACCAGTGTCTGTTCGCCATCCTCTTGTGCAGGGCGAGGTTGCTCCTCTGAGGAGCTGATGCTGGAGAAACTCCTTGATAGCACTGGAGTAAAACATTTTCAAGAGTTAAAACCACAGAAGAAAAACAAAGCAGTGGATAAAAACTGAACAACAACAACAATCATCTAAAAGCCTGCAGCAGTGCTGTCACCTCATAAAAACAGATTTTGCAATGAAAAAGCCTTTTGATCATATTAATCCTTGTAGATGTGTGTGTAGGTGTGTGTGTGTGTGTGTGTGTGCCCCACACTGCAATGAGGGACCTGCTCCTCTCACTCTTTGAGCCCTGGCAACAGCTGCTCTTTTATGTTGCCACACACAACAGTGAACAAACCCAAATTAGCATATGTGAGAAACACTAGTTATCTGTGTGTGTGTGTGTGTGTGTGTGTGTGTGTGCATAGAAGGAGTGTGTGCAGAGCTGAGACGGAGAAGAAAAACAATTTGAATTTTATGAAATGATAATGGAAATCGGGGCAAGTGTCAGAGAGAACAGCAGGAGCTGCAGATGTAAGATGCCACAAGCACAGACAAAGCTACACTGTTTGGTTCGAATTCATCTCATGCTCCAGTTACAGCACTGAGTTACATGCTGATGTTCTGCATCAAATTCTAATTCTTTCGCACATTTACAATGAGCCTCAGATATGTATTTTCCAGGATATGTTTCTCACACTGTGTACACTTAAACAATAGTGTGGCCATTGCCCTGGTTTGACTTTACTATCCTGTCTGTGGCTCTCAGTCCCACGCCCAGTGCTTCCTACTGAAGACATTCTTTTAAAAACTCACAGATACATAGCTTAGTGTCCTTTAAAAACACTAAGCTACTACTTTCCTAAAACAGGTGGGACCTGTAAGGTCAGTTTATTTATAGACCACCTTTTGTACACAAAGAAATTCAAAGTGCTTTACATAAAAAAACTGAGCAAGGCTGAGACAGCACACATCTTCTTAGCTCCACACTCCCACATTTTTTTTAATTTTCAAATCTGTAGTCTTCAGCTTTGACCAAGATTGACTCACTTGAGGCAGTTTATCAGATTTCACTTAATAATGGGTGGCAAATGAAAGGAAACCCAACATAAAGTGTCTCAGTAAGGTGTTGGGCCACCATTTGCCACCAAAACAGCTTTAGTGCACCTTGGCATTGGCTCTACAAGTCTCTGAACTCTACTGGAGGGATGAACACCACTCCTCCAAAAGACAGTCCCTGATTTGGTGTTTTGTTTGAATTTGTTTTAACTTTCTTTATAATAATATGGTTATTATGCTGCACCATATAGTCAAAGCAGCCAGCAAGATCACTGGCACTGACGTACAGAATTTGCCACATAGCTTTCAGTGGAGAGTCATTTCAAAGGGTCAATCCATGTTGGCCAGTCCCTCCCATCCTCTGAACAGAGAACTTGAGTTTTAGGGTGCTGAAAACAAAATCTAACAGAGTGAAAAATTCTTGTATTTCTCAGGCTATGACTCTAAATTCTCAGGAAGATGACTAGCTGCCGATCAGCTTTGCACTAATGGAGCTATGGTTACTAGGTAATGAGATGATTGACTGGAATATCTTATTGCAGTGCTTTCATTAAGTGTTTTACTTTTTTGCTTTGTTTTGTTTTGTTTTTTTTTACCTGGCTGCAGGCTGACAATAAAATTACACTGAGTTGACTTGAGTAGTGAGTTGCCTATGGATCGAGGCACTGAATCCTGGAAGAGACCACCCATTTATTCAGGGTTTTCCTTTATTTAGTCACCTGACAATAACTCCATATGGAGCTACAACTCTCCAACACCTGAAACCCAATCAGTGGCTAGCTTTTGGGACCTTTGTGTCTGTCTCCGCCGTACCTCTCTCCTGGATAATCTCCGGTTTGGGAGGCTCTGGGACCTCCCACTGCTCCTCGTCACCGGGCAGCTCTCTGATGTCCTCTTTGTTCAAGAATCTCTTCAGAGCTCCTGGGTCCTGTGGACATGAACAGAGTTTATGACTGTGAGGACAATACAGCAGAGTTGAGATCTGATCTTGATGTAGAATATGACATTTGTTTTATATTAAAAGATTTTCTTAAATCTTTCCAAGATCTGAATTACATATTCATTTTATTCACACTGGGAGAACTGCAAGCTACTGAACGCACACAATTCTCCTCTAGCGGTGAATGAAAGCATTGCTGGTTTTCCCACATAGAAACACTTTACAGACAACAAGGAATAACTAATCTGTTTCAAATCTTTATTTACAGAAAGAACTCCACAATATGAGCAGAGCTGAGTAGATTTCTCCTTTCAGATACTGTTGCCAGCAGTGGCAGTGGCAGATAATCTCATTAAAATGTTGAAACCCAATTAACCTGTGCTGCCAGTGACTGTTGAATTAACTCATTGGAATAATATAAAAGTTAAAAGTAATAAGTAGATATAATGAGTTGAGAAGCATAATACGCAGTTTCCCCTAAGCCTCTCATATCTGCATCTGTCTGACTCCAGTGTATTATGCTTCAGATTGACATCATTAAAACCTTTTTCAAAGTTGAGGATGATGTGAGATTTGTTAACCTCTGACTTCGCAGAGTCTGTGATGCAACCTGCTCTACAGATGAGAGCAAGTTGCCATGCAATGTAAACGTGGCACTCCCCAAGGATTTAGCCTATTAGTTCTAGCTGTGGTCAGCTCTGTGGTGATAGTGGTGCATGTGCGTGTTTTGAGTGAGTGAGTGAGCAAGGACCCTTTTCTCTGGATATGGATTAGTAATCAATCAGACATGTGAGGCTGTGAACCTGATCATATAACACTTACACTGAGTGAGCCTATCAGGAAACTCAGGAAAGTCATCAGCTCTTTCCTGTGGTTGCTCTCTGTGCAGAACAGCTTCACCAGCTCCCTGAAACATGTACAGCAACAGGATTCAGAGAAGTTGCAGGGGGAGTCCACATCTCAATCGTCCCCCATACATGATTGCTTAATGCAGCACCTTACCCAGATGATGTCACCATCTGGTGTGGTGCGGTGAAGATGAAAATAGCATAGAAGGTAACACATAGCTTCAATTAGAAGTTGGAAACTCATGCGTAGTTCATACACAGTTAAAAGGTGTGAAAAGCCTCATGTGAAATCATACAGCAGAGAATCCAGTCAGCTGAGTTTGTGGCAAAACTCAGCTGACTGGATTGCATACTGTCATCTTTTACTGCATATGATAACTCATGCACAGAAAGTAGAACTGAAGTGACGGTCATTACAAGATGATTAGTTAAAACATTTTAAAATACACCTGCAGTGTTTTGAATTTTGTGACTTTCGGTCCAATAAAAGACTGTTTTCCAGTTATGTATTTAATCATTGAGGATTTCCTAAAAATAATGTTCAAATATAATCTATTTACATACAATACATGGTAACCTGAGACCTGGGGAGAACTGAGACAGCAACCAAACATGCCTAAAAACCTTGCACACAAAATTTTCAGATACTTGATCTGCCTAATACGGTTTGTTTCTATCTCTAATCTCTGTCTGTATACTCATGCAAGAGGACTGAAGCTTGAAGAAGGGCACTGTGAATAAAGACTTCTTCTTTGACTTAATGAAGGTTAAAATGATGAAGAATCAGTTCCTCAACAGGAGTGAGTCCTGAGACTCTCTCCACCACACACAAACCTGCAGATTTCCAGTTTGGCTGAAAGGTGATCTTTCTGGATGTAGAGCTCTTTCTCGTCCTTGAGCAGACAGATGACGTCCTGCACCTCCACCACAGCTTCATCACTGTCGGCAACATCCAGCTGGTAGCGGATGTACAGCTTACCTACCTGTAAACATGCAGTGGACAACTTAAAACTGCACAGTACAGTAAAGGTCCGGGTGAATGTACACACCTATGATCATTATTGCTGTATGTAAGAGGAAATGACATCTTTAAGATCAGTGTGAATGTGCATCAGACTGCTGAGAGATGCACAAACAGTCCTCACTGCTCTGGGAGAGACACAACACTGATAAGAACACACTGAGTGCAAATCAGAATCTGATATTGCCTAAGCCAAATCCACCACTGAACTATACCTACTGAGCTTTTCTTCACTTTCAGACTGCACATGGTCAGTCAGCCCAGGCACTGACTGCACAATGTAAATGTAGGTATTGTAAATTGGTACTGTAAATCTGGCTTGACAGAGTAACAGGGACAGAGAACAAACAGGTACGCAGCTAAAACAAAGTTCCAGATGTTACATTTTTCATCTGATCATGGTCAGAGATTCTCCCTGAACAAGGGAAAAACCTCCAGAATCCAAATAATTGCTCCAAATCAACTACATGTGATCTTCTGACCTGTGCAAAGTAAAGTCGCTTGACTTTCTCTCTTATGTTGTTGTCAATCAAGTCTGTGTAGACATCAGCCAGCTTGTCGTGGTGGTAGAGGAACCTCTGGATATAGGGGATCAATGAGCGCACCATGGCCTGCATAGACGGACAGGGCCTCAGGCTCTCAGTCTGAGGCGCAGTCTTGACACAATCGGACAGCTGACGGATACCGCAGATCTCTAGAAACAAAGCTCGGTCCTCCTCTCTGAAGGCAGGTTCCGTGTTAGCCCAGTCTCCTGGGACTTTGCGACCTGACAGTCAAAATCTCAGTTTTACCCAGGGCTACATTTGTTTAGGTTTGGGCATTAAAGGGTATAATCAAAAGTAATTCTAACACTGACAATTCTACACAGAAACAAAAATCCAGCAGCAGGATACCTGAGCTCCCAGCCTTGCTCTTGGGAACAGTCTTCTTCTCTGCTGGTGGCAGGTTGAGCAGACACACCTGCTTGTGAGGTTTGAAGATCTTGTCCAGCTCTTTGCTGTCAGAAATCATGGGTTTACGAGCCAGACTCACCCAGGTGTTATCCTTGGTGGGGAAGACCCTCTTATCAGATACCATACCTAAACCCAAGGCGAGAAGTTGTAGACATTTAGAGCATCTTTTTGTCCTCACTGTGTTATTGTCACTGCTCCTTGATTATTAATAGGTTATTATTATTATTAAGAGATTAAGAGATTAAGAGGGCAGACACTTCATTGCTGAACAGATGTTTTCATTCAAGCTTTATTCATGTTTTCAGCACCCCACAATGGTCTTTTATAAATCAAATGGACAATCTAAAAACTCTTAATAAGAGCCAGATAAAAATTCACTTGGAACTATAGTAAATCTGAGTTTCAAACAACAATTTGCAATAGAAAAATACCAAATATGTTTAAAGTCACTTAGCTGTGGGTAATTTTGTGTTGCCATTACACACAAAAAAGGAATATCAGCTGATATATCCCCATTGTTCGGTTTACAGCTTAAGTTCTTTTTTAGCTGATCTCTGTTTATACTTTGACTGATTTGGAACCATTAAAAATGCACCTAGTCAGCTATTAGCAGTTCCAATCTGTGTACCCATAGATGTTAAAGTAAAAATGACTGTGTATTTTTCTGTGAAATGCATGGACCTCCATGCGTGATAACATCAGAGAAAATGAAATACTTGGAAAGTATTATGTCTATGGTGAGATCTGATGCAAATTGCAACAGTCAGCAACTAAGAATTTTAAAGTACTTTAAACTGTGTTCAGGAGCTGTGTGCCACCTCTACGGCTTCTGCTGTAGCAGCTGGCCATGTCTATGACAAACTACAATAACTAACTTCCTGCTGCAGCTGCATGCACCTGTCTCTATCATCTCACACGGTATTTTTGCTTCATGCCTCTCCTTATGGCTTCTTATTCTTTAGTTAATTCACTAAAAAATATAATAAAGTTCTTCTGCTTGAGGTCAGTTTAAGATGGGGTTACCTAAAGTCCCAATTACACCAGTACTGTAGTACACTACTCTGCTAGTGCAATAGCTCCAGACACTTGTAAGGCAGACTGTACAATCACATACAGTATGTAACTGCTCTCAGTCTCCAGTATAAAGTCATTCCATACTGCAGGAACAAATTCTCCCCGACGGCTTTCAAAGCATGTGCGGCTCTGACGGCAGATGGATGACGCTTGTTTGTAGCAAATACTTTGGAGTAGTCAACAGGAGGTTAGACAGACACCCAGGCTGGTGAGTTAATGAATGGTGGGCTGTGTTTGCAACATGATGGTGTGCGCTTTACTCACCTTTCAATGTGGAACAGTAAGCAGAATTGAGTTCGAACTGAGGGATGTTTTCCTGGTCTCCAGTTAGTGGAATTTTACACTTTTGAGCTGTTGAAAATAAAAATCTATTATATTATATTATATTAAGTCAGGAAACAGGGGGAGGATGTAACAAGTAACATAACAGCAGAGAGATAAAGAGCTGCAGACAGATGGGACATAAAGATTAACTAAAGTGTGAGTCACTGAATGCATGAAACCCTATGAAACAAAGAACTGGCAATGTGAACATGCTTACCAAGTCTGGCATAGAGCACTGACACATCCTGTAGCACTTCAGCAGTTGGTATGGGAGATGATGAACAGATCAGTTCCAACAAACCGACATACTGATTCATATTTGGGCTGCGTTCCACATTCAGCAACTACAAATAAGATATATAAGCACAGATGTATACATAGTGTATTAGCAATGGTCTAGCTTGTCAGAATATTTGTTATTAAAAGTTTATTAAAGCTAAAGACACTACAAAGTCTCTACATGGTAAAATCATTTGCCTCCTTCACTCTGAAAAACTCTAACACCTTAATCTCTGAACATAAATGCCAGGTGGCAGACAATAAATCATTTTCACAATATATTATTAGATGTAAGTTATGAACTGTTCACTAATGTGAATGGGGGCCAGCGGAGCACATTGTTTCCCAAAGACATCTGTCTGTATTTGTGGAGCTATAGCTGGGACATGTAGCTTTAGCCTGAGTCTTCTAGCATGATATCATTTAGCCATCAGGTGCATAGTTAAGACCCCTTTACAGGGTTGCTATTTTAGAACGAGTTAGCTGGAAACCAGTTCATAGAACTAACCTTAGTTTAATTAGCTAGTTATCTAACTACAAATAATTAATTTGTCATTTTTGTTAGAAAAAACAACTGCTGCCAGTTAAAAATAAAATAAAATAATTGAAGCTGGTTAAGTGGTAATTCTGCCACCATAAACAACAGAAACTGTAAATGTGCAGTGCAAGGACATAAAGGTAAACAGGTGTATCAAGAGAGGCAAGGATCAGTGAGAAGTCAATTAAACATCTTAATGACTCTAAGAAACTATGAATCATCACCCATTCAATGTTTACAGTGAAATGACTTGAGTCAACACTAACACACAAAGAGTGTTGTGGAAAAACAGTAATAGAGCTGCTTACTCGGATGAAGAAGTCTCTCATGCCATCCAGCGGACTGTAGAAGGGAGCCAGGACTTTGGGTTCCAGGATGGGGCTGTCTGGTGCGTGGGTCAGTTGTTTGTAGCGCTGGAACATGGCTGTCGGATCACTCCAGCACACCTCCTTCAGGTGGTAGAAGCGTCCTGAACACCACTTGTCATTACGCCTGGGGAAGCAAAGTTTCACTTCTGGCATCAGGTGTTTAAATTTTCATATTAACTTGTTAATAAGGCTGGCCACATACCTGTTGTACTCTATGAATACAGCAGGGGTATGCTGGAACAGCGCCTTCAGGCTGCTCTGGGGACAGTGTGTATGCAGATAGGTGTAGACATTGTGGATGTGCTGAACTGTAGAAGTGAAATCGGCACCCTCTGACTCGTCCTCATGTCGCCTCTGCTCCTGGTCATCTGCTTCTGGTTTGACACACCACTCCTTCAGGTAGTTAATCAGAGCTTCCACTGAGATACTATGTCTCATTCCTAAAGGAAGGGAAAGACAGTGGCAGATGCTTTTATGTATCTAACTCAAAATAACTAACATGGACAACAAAGATATCCACCACACAAATTGTTACCTAGAGCTCTGGTGAACTCGCTGGGGTCTATGTCCACATAATCGACATGAGTCCCCAGCAGGCTGGAGACCTCAGGGGAGTTCAGGTAAACTGAGCCTGGACAGAGGTACTTTCTCTCTGGCTGCTCTCCTTCTAGTGGCCGATAGGCTGGCACCCATTCAAGATGACAGAGAAGGTGAAAGAAGGAGGACTTGGTGTTTTTGACTGGTTGTCCATCACTATCAGTCACCTGGGCTGTGAGGTACTGAGTGTAGCGATGTCTGGAAGAAAGGTTGGATGAAGACATTCTCAAAGCCCCAGTGGAAGGTAGCACTACCACACACACATTTATATCAAGATGAATTTAATACACTGTCACATTACATCAGAGACCCTATGGTTACACAGTTCTGCCTAATGGTTACGTGACTCTCTCTTCAGCTGCAGCTCAGTGATCTTAATGTTACTTATGACAAATCAAAGTGGCAGAACTGTGTGACCTACATTCCCCAGCAGCATAGACAGCATTCTGCAACACTGCTGATACTTAATGATCAGAGTTAAATGCACTAAGAAATTCTCAACTTCAAGGTAACCTGAGTCAAATTGATCAGTATAATAGAAGGTGGCCTCTCTTCCTGTGTGTCCACAGAACTATGGTAAACAATTATAATAATAAAGCTTTTGCAAGTTCATAATAAAGTGTTTCCCTGTATTTGTCAAATGCATGCTGGAGTGGACTCAAACCATCCTATTACCCTATGGATAAGAGTAAATATAAAAATTATGGATGGGTGGATTTAGTTTGTTTGTTAAGTTTGGCTTTTGTGGATATGATTTTTGTTAGGTAATTACTGAATACTGTAAATGCTATGTGAATACACTTTAATAATTATTATAGATGTTTTTATATTGGTCAGTTGTTTTTTTAAAAGGTCATGATAACACAACCAAAACTGCCACCTCATTTGTGACGTGAATAGCTACAGTCTAAAACCTAATGGCATTCATGTATAGTATAAATGATGAATGGAATCAAATGTGTAAAAACAATGGTGGGATCCTTTAATTATTAATCCAGCTGTAATAAAAAGAAGCTGCTGGTTCATGTTCCTTCAAGTCAGTATATTGCTCTCGTACTGTCCCTATGCACTGTTCACCAGTGAAAGTTTGTGAGCTTGGGTGACCTTTTCTGAACTGCTGCCTTCTACTCACATGTACAGCAGTAACTCACAAGATGGGGCAGCACTCAGAGCAACTAAACCCAGATTATTCATCCCTAGGTTGATCTCTCTGGCGATGTCAAGCCCAAACAAAAGGATGGTGTGTCAGTGCTTTTCTCTCAGGGGTACAAAAACATTTATGTGTCAATAAATGTCCCCACTTTACCCCTGTAATTACTTAATGGCCCCAATAAAACTGATGCAAATTATTGCCTGACCATAATTAACCCCAAAGCCATTAACCTAGCCATTATCTCTGGCCATTAAGTTTCCTAAACATACCACACATCCAGTGAACTCTACAGACATATGTATGTGACAGTGAATGTGAGTGTTACCCAGTGTCCCAGTTGGACTCCAGCAGCTCCAGTAAGGCCATTCTCTGCTGCAGGAGGAGGGGGCCTGGCAGCTGGGCTGTGGCCAGGGCATGAAACTCTTCGCAGGGGTAGTCATCAATCACACAGGCCTCTGCAGGGTTTTGGTGCCACTTTGCACTTTCAACTGACCAGGGGCTGGACGCCTGGAAGAGGGCAGAACATACAGTTAAGTTGGAGCCACATCAAATAGGGATAACTGCTACCAACTCAGAGGTGTCTATGTGTTTACATTTACCCCAAGTCACTAAGATGTATTTTTAAGTCTGTTTTATGTGATAGCACACTTTAAATACACCTTGACTTAGATTTTCTTGCTCCTGATCAGCTCATTCACACGTTAATAGTCATGTTTTAACACCAAACACTGCAATGGTAATCACAAATAAGAAAGCCAGCTGGGAACTGTCCTCCAATAGCATTAAAATATTTGATGAACTGCCTAATGTGATTAAAGTAACCTCTGTTTTCATCATGTTCATTTGAAAAGAATATGAAGCTTTACAATCAATTCTGACTGATGTGACATGTATAGTATTTTTAAAGAGAAATAATCTGAGTACCATTGTTCCCATATTGTGTGCAGGCAGCATAACTCCAGCCCTGGTTGCTGTCACCCATGCTAAAACTGGCATCATGAATGTCTGACGTGCGCAACCTCAGTTCTCTCTGACATGTCCCATCAGTCACCTGCCTTTTCTGCTCCTCCTCAAAACAGCTTTTGATCTCTCGAGCCTGGGTCTGACTCATAATCATTAGTATCTTCATCCTTTAATCACTACTTGATTTATCATGATGAGTCACAGCATTCTAATCTGTCTCTGGTGTCCATGCAACCAGTAAATATTGTGTCCTTACATAACACACCTGTAGCCTTTCATCATCTGTGTTTACAGCTTGGGCTGCCATGACCTTGGTCTGGTCTTTTTGTGCCCATACAGCTGCATCATTGCAGCATGAGTTGAGTGTGATTCCTAAACTGCCGAAACTACAATTCAGGGATTTCCTCCTCACCAGTTCTTGAGCAGTCAGAGTTTGTCTCTCTTTGCGAATGATGAGACCATCTCTGACTCCCAGTCTGCTGAAGAGCTCTCTCCATCCTGCTACATCTCCATCTGTCTGCACATAGCAGGGACTCAGTAAGATCCAGTCACAGCCTGGAAGAGGAAGAGTAGACAGGCAACTGGATAAGTGTTTACAGTACAAAGAACAATAAAGAATTACATTGTATAAGAACCATGAATTTGGAGAACAGTGGAACAGGAAACAGGTAAAGAAGATCAGAAGGTGAAACTGTAGTGTAAGTAATCAAATCTCACAAGGAATCTGTGAATTTTATGGTCAGTTAGATCCACTAACTTATGGCTGCATGGCTACACTGTTTATCCCATACAAACAGAACCAAACAGAACCAAAGTCTTTAGAGAGAAGATATAGATAGAAATAGATGCAATAGAAAGATGGGGAAAAATAATGCGCATCATCTTCTTGGAGATGCAAACTGGTTTGGTTCATGCAAAATATAGTCACCATCTGGAACCAATAGAACTGACAATACCAATGATGTGTGACAGGCTTTGCAATGGTCTCAAAGATGTATTTTGATCATCTATGAATTATTCAAGTAAATGATCTGTCTCCAGCTTCTCAAAAGTGAATCTGTTCAGTTTTTCTTAAGTTTTTTTTATGATAAAGCTGGTCAGACACTTGACCTGTGAAGATGTCACTTTTGGCTCTGACTTGGATGGATATTTTTCTAACCTTTGACAAACTAAAACAATGTAATCTCAATAATGTAAAAGTAATTGTAATGTTTGAAGAGTAAAAACATTTCACCTCATCTCATTGCCTATACCGCTTAGTCCAGAGTAAAAACATTACTTTTTGAATTTAGCCGCTCTTGTTCAAAGTGCAGGTCAAGTGCACTGATCCATTTTCCATTGTTGGTCCACTCTCCTACAACTTATGCATCACACAGACACATACACACACTCCTTTGTTCAACATTCTCAGACATTTCATGCTTTCTTTAATCTTAACAATGGAGGTAAACCTTAACATAATCACAAACCACTTTCCTCTCTAACGTCTCTAACATCCCCTGCAGAAAAGGTGGGTGGTAGCTGGGGACACTAAGAAACAAGCTTTGGTGATTATCATGGGTATTTTTGCTGACACTCTACAGACCAGTGAATCATGTGTGTGTTAGTGGGTTGTCTCCATACCAGGCAGTTTCTTTGGCAGGTTGATGTTATCGTACTCCTCAGAGAAGTGCACCTTGTCCTGGCCTGGGCACAGAAGACCCTTGTTGGTGAGGACAGGTACTAGAGTGTCTGAATACTCCTGACTGGAGGCCGAGTGCTGCTTGATGAAAACCAAGTAACTCACTACCACGGCCTCGGGCTTTGACTGACAATGGAATCAGCACAGATCCATGGGGTCGCAGAGGCAAAATGAGAGGGACATTTAAGCCAAATATAATGGGCAACACTTTTTAAGCATAAAACTTAAAATGTAAAATGAGTATAACATAATATTTGTGACACTCTTTTCACATACCATTTTACACAGATGTAAATGATCCAGTAGATACAGCACATTACCTTCCATTTGTTGCTGCATATTGAGGGGTAGATGTGCTGCTCCAACAGCTCTTGAGGCTCCAGTTCATGGACTCCAAGTCTTTTTAGCAGCTCTCGAACCTGCTGACTTTCCAGAGGCTCCACACAGCTCAGCAGAGAGGGGTGAACTACATTTACATCCTTGTACAGCGCAGACAGAGGTCCTGTATAAGGACAACACATTAGACAAAAACTGATTAAGAGCCTTAACTAATGGCCACAGAATTAACACTGCATCAACACTTTCCTGACACAGTAACAACAAACATTAAACATTACTAACTAAACTGAATAATATTACGCCCGCCCAATTTCAAGTTGGGTGAACGATGTAGTGTCTATATTGATTTTCAAAGCCTTATAGTAATACTGAAAGTGTTATTGCAGTTCATTTCTGCATTTACATCCCCCAGGGGATTATTTTGAAACACCTGTTCAGAGAAACAATTTTGTTGAAGACATTTTACTACTGATGTCTGGTCTCATTTAGACCTGGATTTGGAAAATATGCAATAACTTGTGTGTCTGAAGTTCTTACATTTCTTAATCTGATCTTAGCTGTTTCTTGAGAACTTGAACATACAAATAAAGGTGCGATTTGTGACATACATACAGTACAAATAAACACACAACTAAATACTGTATGTGTAACAGAAAACCTCCAGTGAATTACTTTCTGGGAGTGCCATCTAGATGAGTGTTTCCCAACTGGTTTCTGTACTGCTCAGTATTTCAGAAGGACACAGTGTTTAACTCAGCTGTCTCTCTGGAGCTATTACACACACGTCTTTCTGCTTGACTTCACCTTTAAGTGGAACATAAGGTTTGGACTGCACACTGGCTTCACTTCCAGAAGACAGGCTTAATCTGTTTTCACTATTTACACTCATTCTCACTTTACTGTTATCAATCATACATAACTGCCAGGATGTACTTATTTTACAAGATACAGTGGTAATTTAGTACTGCTTGTCCATCAATTTAGTGGCTTCATAAGAGACTGACTAAAAACAGAGGACAGTCAGGAAAGATCAAGATATTCTGAGCTCCAAAAAGTGCATCATTTCCCACAAAAACACAATTTTTTTCCCCTAAAATCTGCCTAGTAAACACCCTCATCTTTCAAACTCCGTGTCCAAAGATAAACCGGAGACATTATTCAGGAATCACAGGTTGAGCAGAATTCTCTGTGGCAAGGAGATGTAATGCTCCACTAAAAGGGTGAGTATGCTTACACACACAAGAAACCCTTAGCTTGTTTTAGAAGAGTCACTCACTTATTTTAACTGTATTAATAAGACACTGCATCCTGATTCTTTCAGAGGCTGCTCTGTGTTTTTGATTTCAGCTTTGGTCTGACTTTTGATGTCTTTATGTATAATTACCCCTCCCTTCATCCCACTGCTCTGCGGCCACAGCGGTACGTTTGTCTTGCACATACAGGTAAAAAGCCAATAGTAAACTCACTTGTACAGATACTGTACCTGGCCAAGAAAACATCTTGCATAAGGGGTAATCAATCTAGGGAATTCAAATTTTATTTTATATCCAAACCTAACTGGGCGGGTGTACTGTAATAAAAGTAATAAAAAATGATAACACACACAAAATGTGATTGCAGAAAGATCACGTTACTTAATTACAAATAAACATGCAGGTTTTTTATGGTACTTAGGCAATTAGTCTTTTAGTCGGTTGATAGGAAATTAGAACCAATTTTAATAAATAGAAACATTATCTAGTTCAAGTTTTACAGATTTGAAGACTTTCTCTGTTTCCTGTGACAGTGAACTGGGGGTGTGGGCTGCATGCAAGCAGTGTGAAGACATCATCTTAGGCCTTGGAAACTAGTAATGGCCGTATTTCACTTTTTTGACATGTTAGACCAAATGATTCATTGATTAACAGCCAAGTTTTGACAGAAAAACAACAATATTAATCAACTGCAGCTCAAACTGATCACTGGCTCAGCAAAACTGTTTTCTGCCTCTCTTACATACAAAGATACCAAAGAGTACATGATTATTAAAGCCAGCAAACTGCAGTGGCATGATGCTTACATCAGAGTGTGAAACTCAATTATTCATGCTTGCTATTCCAAATGCCTGCTTTGGGTACTGTTTTTGAATGTGATGACGCACAACACTGGTGCCATTCCTCCACTTTCTGTGGAGGTGAGGTGAGTTTCTGTATGTTTGCTTATTCATAGTGAGAGGTCACGTTTGTTATACACCTACTTCGATGCCCTCAGTGTCTGTGAATGTGCTGACTTCTAATAGAGCAGACACAGCTGTTTACGTGGGTCCTTTCAGAGGGTTTAGTCTTCAACATGCAGTGTTTCTATAATTAGTCAGACATAGGAGTTTCAATCTGTGATACAGCCTCAGTTAGCCTGGCTGTTACCTGAGTGTCTTGATCAAATGTAACACATAATTTAACGTGTTATTATTATTTATCTTGTCAAATACCATACCAATACCAGTTGAAGTCAGAGGTTTACACAGACCTTAGCAATCCTATAAACATTTCCTGTCTTAGGTCCTTAGGTTGTTTGTTAGTTTGAATTTCAAAAAAGCATCTTTACAAAAAGAGTTGCAAAAACAAAACAAAAACAAACAAACAAACAAAAATCACGTGAATATTTGTGAGGCAAAATTATGCAGCCTTTTCAGATGGAGACACTCAAACAAAATCTCAGATCACCCAGCACATGGTTCAAATTAAAGTCTAGTAGTTGTTAGCCACGAATAAATACTACTACTGATTTCAGTATATGTACACTGAAGGTATATAATTACCAGTCTGAGCTTGAGCTTTTTTTTTCTTGGGCTTCGTTTCTTCCATTGGAAAGAAGACTCCCTCTCCATTTAGTGCCACCACACGGCCATCAGCCAGCGGGATTATGGGTAGATCCCTGAGGGTCTGTAAGATAAAGTCTGCCTCTCCATAGCCATGCTCCAGAGCTCGGAAGTTGCAAACCAGCAAACGGGCCAGCTGATGCAGACCACCATCTAGAAGAAATGTGCAAGGATAGTGTCCAAAATTTTACTGAAATGCATGTATACTGTATATAGTACTGCCGAAATTAGTCATGCTTCCGGTATTGCTAATAACCCTGAGCGGCTATGTCAGGGTGTATCAATGAATGCACATTATTTAACAACAAACAGTACAGTTTCATGCCAGTACAAAAATCCCAAACTATTCCTTTAAAGCCCACTTACTAGCTTTAGCTAGTAACTGTGTTGCTTAGAACAAACTTCCATGCATAATATTAACTTTTACTCATTAAAACTATGAGGCAGTTGAGACACCATTGTACCACCATGACACTTTATATATGTAACAAGCTATGCTGCTATGCTAACAAGATCAATAACAAACCTAATTACAGTAATGCATTAATTAGTTCCTGTTACATAAGGGGTTTTTCTAATAAACTTAGTATTTCAAATTCAACCATATACAGTATACAGAATGTGGTTACATTTTATATACAGTATATCATATATAAATAGACATGAATGAAACATGAATTATCACAGGAATATGTTTACTTTGATGTAATGCTGCCTCCCTCCACCATGAAATTCTGATGGTCCCCACACTATTGAAAAATTCTTCTCTTTTTAATACTGTGTTTCTACTTTCCCGCCTTCTGCTACATAAAAACGGGTTGTTATGAGATGTCAGCACCGGTATACATGTAATTATGGTACATCTCCAGCTGCATATGCTGCATTCTACCAGCACTTATAATCAGTTGTGCATAATCTGCAGTGTCATAGGCTGGCTATCCATCATGCTTCTCTTTCTCTCTGTCAGAGCTGAAACACACACACACCTGAATGGATGCCTTGCACCCTCATCAGCTCTTTGGCCATGGCTGTGGTTACCGTGGTAACATCTGATCCCCGCAGGTATCGGACTCCCAGGTGAGTGAGCAGGGAGGTGGGTGGGACAGGGCTTAAGCCTGGATGAAGGTAGGACAGAGACAAATGCCTTTCGAGCTCATCTCCACCAATCACGTCGCGGATCACAGTGTCCTGACAGACGGCCACTTGGGACGGCATCTTGTGCACAACTTTACCATCTGGGACAGAAAGCATGAAGAGGAACATTTACATAATTAGATAGTATTTTAAATTTCTTGTATAGCAGAGCAATACAAGGGTTCACAGCTTTGGTATACCAGAAATACTTCTGTTTAGTTTATACTGCCTTTTGCATTTTTTTTAAAGGTTTTTAAATTTTAAATCTGCACAACCTGCAGGTGTGAGTCATACCTGAGCTGAGTGTAGGCAGGAAGGCTTTGCCTTTGAGCAGCTGAATAATCTGCCCAGCAACAGGCTTGAAGAAGTCTAACAACTCATCAGGCAAGGGGATGAATTGCAGGAATTGGCAAAGACCCTTCAGCCCCTTGAACTCTGGGTGCTCCTGGAAAAAGAAGAGAACAAGACAATGGTTTAAAGGCAAACGATAACAAAGGACTGATATGTGTTATTAGTTGTTATTACTGTATTATGCCTTAGACATCCTATAGCTGAGCATCAAATTCAAATTTTTCATTATATACCATAAATTCTCATATGGTGACCCAAGCTGTCATTTATCTCAGATGCAAAGAGAATCAGTGGAAACAACAAGCTGACTTATTGACTAACAGAAAATAAATCTATTTGGAAACTATTTTGATGATCCAAAACTGTAACAGCTTCTCAATGGCAGGGTTAGCTGCTCATCTTTGTCATACAAAACAATGTGGTGAATATGTTTTCTCATTTGTTTTTGTTTGTAGAGCAGATAGAGTATCATCTTACAGTAAAGACATCCATGGCCTGGAGGAAAAGCTGTGGTATCTCAGACCGAAGCCACTGGTTCCAGGAGCTGTCTCTGTCAACATCTTCACGAGATGACGGGATGTCAAAGTCCCCTGGAGAAGAAGAGAGTATCAACTGTAGACTACAAACACATTTTGTTTTCAAAAATCAAACTGTATCTACTGTCTGTGAACAAACTTCTTCATTATCTCAATCTCCATTCTGACCTTGGATAATGAAACGAAAGCCGAAACTACGAAGGGGAAGGAAGGCGAACACAGGCTGTTTCTGAGGCTGGCATATGATATCACTTTCTGTGTTGCCAGTGCCAAGCTGGAAAGCCAGGGCAAGCTCAGTTGATTCAACATCCTCTTTGATCTAAAAGAGAAACAGAGCATTGTTAACATACATAGATGCGACTCAGAAACAGACTAATGCCTTACAGAAATAGACCTTAGAGTCTGTTAAAGACATAGTTTTGCCACTGCAGTCAGCTTTATTTCTTCTCTTACATAACTGCAAGTAATTTGGAGCTCCCTCTAGGAAATGAAAGAAGAAACATAACTGATGTAGACACCGTAGCAGGGATTATAGCAACAATTTAGACGGACACTTCATTAAAATCTGCTTGGTGGTGTTTATGTGTGTGTCTGGATCTTTGTCATATATTTCTATTTGATGTTGGGACAAACAACATGTCTAATGAGTGAGTTTTCACAAAGTCTGGCAAGAGATAGAAAGCAGAGATAGAAAGGCTTTTGCAGAGCAGAAGGCAGAAGAGTTTTGAAGCACAAACACAGAAGGGTGTCAGTGAAAGGCACAGCTACAGTGAATTTTATTTACTCCCCAGGAGGGATGAAATGAGGAGGGACAGAAACTACTTGCTGTTGTGAAATCTAGATATTATAAATGTGCCTGAAAATGAAGAAACGAGAAAAAGAAAAAGAAAAAAATGAGATGTGGAAGCCAGGGTTTGTGTGTTACCTTCTTGGGCTGCAGTGTAGTTTTGACCACAAGCCAGCGCTCAGTGCCCTCTGTGTGCTCCACCTCTAATACATTGTGACTCAGGTCTTTGCGAGTCATTGTCACAAGACGATTCTCACTCTGCAGGACGACAGAAGCAGCAGGTGATGAGGGATTAGGAAAAAAGTGATTGCTAATGACTTCTTTCCAGCCAGTTTATGTTCACATTTTGCACTGAGTGCAAAAATGCATATGTGCAAGTGATTATTTCTTTGCTCATTAAAGAAAGACTTCAAATATGTTTATCTGCATAGGTATGAGTGCAGGAGCTACCTGGTTATAGATGGTAATGGAGCGCAAACGGTGCAGAAAAAGCAGCAGGGAGGGGTGGACGTCATGAAACAGGTTTCTGGTCTGATGGTTCCCTGAGCGCAGAGGGAGGCAGATCTTAGTGGTCCAGCTGAGAAGAGAACAAATGCAGTTAGGTAGTTCAGACACTAGTGGCTCTGTTCCTTCTTCCAAACTTAAACCTCCTTCAGCAGTGCACTTTATTTACAAGATCCATTACTATTTACGAGAGATAAATGTAAACTGTCTTATAGTGGATGCATTATACTGCTGTCACAGAAGAGACTTACAGGTGTTTATATTACAGTACCATCAGTATCTGAATTTGGAAAAATGTAATAAAAAAACTGCTGAATTTTTAAGTGGGGCCAATAAACATTTATTTGTAAATTTGTAAATTAAATGTCTGCATTACAGATTGAGATTATACAAAGATTTACATTATGGATTGCTTCTTGAAGTACATGAATTCACTTGAAAGTTAAAGTATGATGCTTGTGTTTGCCAATAGGCCTTTTGCATACAAGTTACAGCAGGAAAAGCACGTGTAAATAATAACATAGACAATGGTTGAATGTCATTTAAGAGAGAAGCTCTACTTTATTGTGACACGTGCAGTGAACTTTTGTTCGGAGCCGAGGGCTACAAGCTGCTGCCTGCATATGTGCCGTCATCACGGGCAACAGGGGGTTTCAGTGTCTTGCCCAAGGACACTGTGACATGTGGACTGCAGGCACCAAGATTTAAACCTTCAACCGTCCAGGTGGGAGACAACTGCTCTACCCGCCACACTGGTGCTGCTTCAGTTTCAGAGACCTGGTATTATGCATGTTGGTTCACTGTCACACTGCCCTTGACCAGAACATAGGCCATACTTAATGTTATTTGTAAAAGCTATGTTTTCCCCACAGTGACACGTCAAAATGTCTGCTGTGTAAAAGACCTCTTTTTTCTTAGTCATCTTACCTAGTCTGATTTATGTCCTTCAGCCGTGCATCCAGAAGCCTCTCATCCTCAGCCCAGTGAGGGAGTATGTATCCCATAGGGCCACAAGTCTTGTCAAAGCGCAAGTGGAAGCCATTGGAGTGAATCTCAGGACAGTCTGTGACTTTAAACACCGACTTGAAACCAATTCCCTTTTGTCCTGTGTGGAGTACAGCAATCAGCATCATTAAAACAACACCTTAACATTTCTATCATCGTATATTTAAAACAGTCCTCACACACTATTCAAGCCATTACGTTCATACTTACCTATGTAGCCATATTTGTGTTTGCCCTTAGTGCTGCAACCCACATCGCAGATGGCCCTGATGTTCTTATCCTGAAAGCCGGTCTCATTGTTGAGAATGGTGATGCAGTCTCGCTCCACCACAAAGGCCAGTGCTGGAATGACCCCATCCTCTGCTAGATAACTATTGTCATCAGCATTCTAAAAAAATAGGAAATGTATTCTTTAATTGGTAGGTAGCATTACAAATATGTATCATCTTACTTAAAGCTACAGTATGTAACTTAAGGTAGAACCAGCATGAAACTCCAAATCAATCCACTCTGCTCCGCCACGCTCTGCCCAGCTCTTCAGATATTTGTCATTATGAAGTTACAAAAAAGAGAAGAATGCAACAAAATTTACTGATCAAGCAGAAATAACTAAAAATCTCTGATTGGTTAGATCCCGCTCAAAACCTTTTAGAAGCTAACATCTCTGCCAGTGCTGGTCAATGAGTCTGGGTCACTAGAGGCTTTAACAGCACCTCTCTACATTAAGATAAGTTTCAGAGCATATTTCTACAACAAAAATATTTGAAAAAAGTTACATTCTGTAGCTTTAATAATACAATTAGAATACTAATGAGGATTTAGCTAAATCTTTTTGGGGTAATATAAAGGGCAACACAGAGAGAAGAGGTTCACGACAGAGTGTAAATATTATAGAAGCCACCTGAATGAGTTCCAGGACAAAGTGTGTGTCTTTGCTGTACAGCTCAGTGGACAGGCGTTCCAAGCTGCGGCCCAGCCTGTCCTGGTGAACCTGCATCAGCTTCTGACCTTCAGCAGTCAATTCCACACCAATACCAAACTCACTCTTCCTAAAATAAAATAAAATGAGACAGAAGAAGAAAGCACAGATGAGCTTTACTTTGTAGGAGCCATTTATGTAAAAACCATGATACTTCAGCACGGTGAACTAAATGTGTTATAAACATACCTGATGTCCTCAATTAAGGCTCTTTGGAGATCAAGTGTGGTCTCTGATTGGCAGCTGGCAGCATCCTTCTCATTAGAATCAAACATTTCTGACTGTTCTTCATCCTGGCCTCCTTCAGCTTCACTGCTGACATCTGATATCACTCCATTGGGGAGCGAGGCCAACTCATACAGCTCCTCTCCATCCTCTTCCTCCTCATTCTTTAAGTCTTCCTCATCATTGACTAAAAGAAAATAACAATTTAAAACTAAGAAAAGAAAACTGGTTCACTTGCATTCAGTTGTGCAAGAAATGAAAATACACTTCAAACTCCCATAGTGGAGTGCTACTTTTAATTACCTTGTTCTATGTTCTGGCTGATGTGGGAGGAGACAAAGCTGTTTTCCATGATGTTATCTTCAAGAAATTCATCTTCACTCATTGTCAGAGCTGACAGACTGCTGCTCTCAGAGTCTATCAAATTAGACTGAAGTAAAAAATAAATAAATCAATAAAAGAAAATCAAAAGCCAAGTTTGATAGCACCACAATCAAGACATCCAGTCCATGGGTTTGCTTACTTTTCCACCAGCACTTTGAATGTTTAATGACTGGGCTCAATAAAGGCATGAAAAATGACAACGGGTTTTGCACTTGCTTCCCTGTTTGGTACTTTTATTTTGAAAGGGTTTCCTGTTTTGTGTCATCTCAGCTGCCTCAGCTTTACTCTGGTCTTTAATTACCACTCATTGCCTTCACCTGTTGCTCATTGTCTCCAAGTCTGAAGCTTTTATATTCTCCTCACTTCCCTCAGTTAGACACCACACCCTGTGTGTTTTTGGAGTTCCTGTAGCTCTGTACTGTCTCCTGCTTTGTTTTCTGCGTAGAAACTCTTGGGCTCTTTCTCTTTGCCTCACCTATGGACTTTGGACTTACCCGCTATATTGGATTTTTGGTTTGTTCCTCTGGTTTTGTTAAGTTTTGTGTTTTTAGTTTGTTGTATAGCCCCCTGACTGAACTGTTTAGATGTAGTTTTCTGTAGATGTCTTTGTGCTGTTTTGTCAGGTTGAACTCCTTAGTAGTTCTACTTGTGTCTTTGTTCTGTGTCAGTTAAATTAACATAGACTAAATACTGTACCTCAGTCTGTGTCTGCATTTGGGTTCTCTCCTAAGGCGGCATCTGACATAAGCACATTCTGTCTATATTTGTGACTTGGATGAAGATCAGATCACTTCTTATGACTAATTCATGTAGAAAACCAGGTAATTTCAAATGTTCACTTTGTGTTTTCTTGCCACTATATGGTACAACAAAATGTAGGGGCACAGTTTTAATAACGTTCCCACTTTTTTACAAATGATGTGCAGTGCACAAAATGCACAGGTAAAATGATCTCACTACGTAATCACTGATTACTGAATGTTTTTAATATTCACTGTACCTGGGTACTGAATGTTTTTAATATTCACTGTACTTAACTGTGCTTAACAAAGGTCATTAATGCATCCAGTTTCAAACTACGTAGTGGATACTAACTTGTGAGACATTGCAACTAGGGTTGTTTGACAGTGTTTTAATATGCTTTTCAAATTCCTTACTGGACCCATTTACAGTAGTGTTATAACTATGACTCCTAAGATTCAGCTGACCTCTTCTAGGTGAGAAGAGTGAAAGTTTTGTGTTGCAGCCTGTCTTGTTTTCACATCATACGGCAACAACTTGAAAATGAGATGAGAACTTGATTCATCACAAAAGACATTTTTTTGTGCCAAAGATATTCTGTGTGCAAATATATGTATTGTAAAATAAACAGTAGCAGAAGATATGAAATGTTGCTTTAATATTGTATGTATCTAGCATATTAAAATAATGGTAGCCTACTGACCTTGGCTCACCCAATGTTTCACAAACCTTCACCAAATATGAAAAATCCTGAGTCAGAATTGTTTAGCTAATCAGATCATACCAATGTGCTCGGCTAGATCACTTTATTGGAGAAAGTGTATTGTTCTGTTTGTGTTGTGGGAGCCACGGGACACTCATCCCACTCTAGTGGTGTGTTACAGAGTGGATGTCCTTTCCTCACAAATGATCTTTGGCTGAATATAGACACCAGCTGAGGAGCATACACCTGACATCTGCCAAGTTTCTTTTTGTTCTGGCATCAAGATACTCAAAGAATTAATGTTAATGTGTGTTCATAATACCTGCTCTGCTGCTCTTTGCTAATGACGAGGACAAATACAACATTCAATTCAACAGATTTGTTAATGTAGGAGCTTTTGAAACCTGTGTATTGTGACAGCCTATTACTATATTTTTTTTTTTCCATACCTCCAATATGTTTTGTTCTTCAGATATTTCAGCTGTATGATGACAAAGTACGGTGTGGTCATGGCAGTAGTGTAGTGGGAGTAGACTACCCAGAGATCATTTATGATGCACACTAAGATCAATTCTTACTAGATATCTTTGGCTTTTCTGTTGAAGTTCAACTTTCTACAGATGGTGCTGTAACAATACTGACCTTGGTCTGTTCCACAGGAGCTGTGTATGGGCTGTAGTTTTGGCTCTGTGGTGGGTTCAGCTTTTTCTGGTAGTCTTTGACCCAGTCTGTGATGCCCAGGAGGATGCCCAGCCGATGCAGACAGTTCATGTGCCTCAGGTCAGACTGGGCCACAGTAATTAGGACCTGTTTGGACTTGGCCTGGCCCAAGACACGGGAGAAAGGCTCCAAAAACACCTGGAAGTCACATTCATGGAATGGAATAATGCACCAATTCTTAATCAGAGTTGCAGCAGAAATGCATTGCCCTTGTCATTGTGTTATGCAACCTATCCTGCAGTAAGGCTACAGGCTAAAGCTGCCTACTCTTTTGGTCAACAGACAGTAAAATGTGGTTAGTTTTTTGTTTTCTTGTTAAAAGGTGTGGTTCATTTGTTTGCTTGAGAAGAATGCTTTGTAATCATTCCCATTTTCACCCATTTCAAAAGAATGAAAGCCCAACATCTATACTTTCCATGCTGTTTTAGTTTGGTTTGCTGAGCATGAGAGCTGAGAACAGCTCATGATGCTGTACACCTGCTGATCTTGTGTTAAACAAATGTAAGTGTGCAGATTATTAATGCACTAATTAGATTTCAAGTAAACAAGAGTGATTCTGGGAAGTTGAAGTTTGAATTTCTATTTCCTGCT